GCATCAAAACTTTAAGAAGGGAGTCTTTTAAGAACTGTATTTCTATAGCTCTAGCTATGCCCATTCCTCTTTCCTACTGTACAGATTGAAGCATTCTAAGAGTATAAGAGACCATTCTCCAAGGAAAATTCTCCAGTAACGTTTTCTACAGCTGCCTTTGAAAACCCAGGAATTTCTTTTCTCTCTCTTCAATGTATCATACTGCCCTAACAGTGACAGGAAGAAAACAACTTTTAGGTTGAGTGCAACATCAAAAAAGGCTTCTCCTGTTACTAAAAAAAAAAAAAATCATTTGCTTGATAGTTATTTCCTGTGTCAAACTATCAAAGGTTTCCCCTGACTGCAGCCATCTGGGGAGTTTGTTGTTTGTTACATGCCAATATGTTAACATAAAGCATCTGAAGGGAAAAACATTCATTCATGTATCCATTCATCCATTCATCCGTCCATCCATCCATCCATCCATCCATCACTAACACATTCAACAATGATTTCTTAAGTACTAGCTATATTCCATACACTGTGCTATTAAGGATGCAAAAATGAGTAAGAAAGGCATGGTGACCATATGGTACCTCTGATAGTGGCAGCAAGGATCTCCCTGCTACTGGTAATGGTTTTGATCCATTGGCAATGGTCAATTTGGGAAGACAGACTTTGAAGCAGCCTCCTTTTTAATGGCAAGTGTGAAAGTCTTAGGGGGCCACAAGAGGTCTTAGGTGGTGGCTGTGGCTCTTCAATTGTCAGAGGTGCCTCCAGCACCTCTGCAAATTACATAGAAGTTGAATGCAAGTTATGAATTTTTGAATATGAAAATGTGCTTCTGTGCTTGCTTGGCAGCACATCAGATCTGAAAGTAGAGATGAGAATTCATTTGTTTCTCAAATATTTCATATTTCTGTGAATATGTAGTCAATCAAGGTTGTGCTACAACTCTTGCAGTATTTTCAGTTCAGTGGTATGTAGTAGCTACACAATGACATTATATAACATTGTTTTTAGAAAGGGGAATTGAAAACGATGTGATTCAACATAGTCTTGGAAGTCCTAGCCACAGCAACCAGGCAAGAGAGAGAAATAAAAGGGATCCAAATTGGAAAAGAAGAGGTAGAAGTGTCACTATATGCAGATGACATAATACTATATATAGAAAACCCTAAAAATGATGTGTTCGGTTGAGACTCCACAGAGAAAAAAAGCCAATTTATAACTTGGACCAAAAGATAGAGTTCCAACCTTTACTTTTGAACAAAACAATAAGAAAAAATATAAAAATGGAACACTGCTTTAGATAGTACGTTAATTAAAAGAACATCGTGTTTGCTAGATAGCATTTCTGGCCTAAACTGACACTGCATATGGTGGAGTCTGAAGCCTCTTGGGTTAAATAATTTGCAGAATGTCATAGAGTCTGATCTACATAAACATATCAGTCACCTGGAACCACTTGGTGGTTCCTCTTCTCCTGCCTCTTGGAGATGCCTACCATTTAAAGTACTTTCTGTGACATCAGGGATGACAAACACAAGGCAGACACGCCCATGCTGAGAGCACCAACTCTATCACAGGTCTCTTCACTGCTGAGCCCAGGTATGGTCTTAGCATCCCTATGAGCTCAGTATCCCAGGCCCTACTACCAGCCAGGTGGAGTGAACTCATGAAATGAAACGTACTTATCATCCTTGGATTAGAGAATGAAAACAGTGGCATTAATTTTAAAAGGCTACGGTGGAATGAAAACATGTTTCCTGGCAAGGAAGAGATTGCCTTGACCAAGGATAAGAGCTTCTTTTCCATGAAAGCAATACCTCTGAAGAATCAGGAGGGAAGGTTTGAGTAAGAGGAAGATAAGAATGATAGTGACCAGATCTGGCTGCCTGAGGGGTAGGCATGGACCGGGAGGCAGCACAGGGAAGAAGAGTGGGAGATGAGAGAAAAGTCAAAAAGGGCTTATTTCACAATTCCCTAGGGTCAGGATGCTCCAGCTCTGTCTTTTCTTAGAACTGTCCTGAGGAGTTCAGTGGAGAAGACTCAAAACGAGGGCTACTAATAGTGAGTAACCTCCCACTTCCTGCATTACCCGAACTTTTTGGGAAACCTTTCACCAAATACAGTTAGAAAGCCCAGCCTCATCCACCTTGGGACAACTGACAACACTGTGCTTTGAGGCAAGTCTGAGTAAATAGTTGAACATCCCTGTGTTGACTATTCCAATGTAAACAGAAGAAAAAAGCTTTTTTAAAAAACTGAAATATAGTCTGTTTACAATGTGTCAATTTCTGTTGTACAGCATAATGTTTCAGTTATACATATACATACATATATTCTTTTTCATTATAGATTATTGTAAGATATTGAATATAGTTCCCTGTGCTATACAGAAGAAACTTGTTATCTATTTTATATATAGTAGTTAATATTTGCAAATCTCGAACTCCCAATTTATCCCTGCCCACCCCCTTACCACCTGGCAACCATAAGTTTGTTTACTATGTCTGAGTCTGTTTCTGTTGAAAAAAAAAAGCTTTTAGTGACCTCAGAAGCTGTGAGGTTTGTGGCTTTACAATGAATGGCCTAAAGTCTTGTGAGCCTAGCTGGCCAAATCTGGGAACTTCCATTTAAAGTTCTCTGATAAAGTAACTTAATGATGGGGATAATTTTATTGGCCCATTTAGTAGAATGATAAAGACCATAAAGCAGTTTTGCAAATTGCTACTTTCTTCTTTACTAAACGTGTGGCCCTGGACAAGTAGTTTTATTTCTTCATTTCCTTGTCTATAAAGATGATTCCTTTCATACAAAGAAAAGTGATAGGAAAATGTATTGAATATATACTGTCTGTGGGACACTTAGATTGGTCCTGGGGAGTAATCAAAGATGGGATAAGCATAGATGTGCTCTCAAGGAATTTAAGACTTAACAACGAAAAATAAAGACAAGTAAAACAGTAACAACATAAGACAGACAAGGAGATGGGTCTCAAGAGAAACGCAAGAATTGAAGTGTTGGAGGACAAATCACTGACCACTTCCCAATCATCTGACTTATTCTGGTTGGAAAGGTGTTCAGCAAGAGCTGGTACAGGTAGTTTTTCATGTTTTTGTTATTGCTGGTGGAGAAATAAATGGCTAATTCTACTTATTTTATTCGCTTAGTTTTTTTTTTTTTATTCTCTTAGGTATTTTTCATGGACAAAAAAAAACAGTGAGCTGGTAAAGCGTTTGAAATTAATATACATGAGGCTGTGATATATGTTTTAAAATTATAAAGAGCTTAACCACAACACATTAACACGGGGAAAGAGAAAACTTCCTCCAGGAGTTGGGAGCTAGTTTGGGTGTAGAACAAGGAACAGAACGTAGGTCTGATATGTCACATCAAACTCTCTGCTCAGTAGAGCCAAGCTGCCAATGTGAAAGGCACTTTCACTTTTGTCACTTTAAAAAACATTTATTATTCTCACTCCAAGCTGAAAGCAGCACCGAAGAATTTTTACAGCAATGAGCTAAGAAAACCCCTAATCTCCTATAGTCTCCTTTCAACAGTAGGATTCTGACCCAGTTAACAAACTGATTTCAGTGAAAGTAAAATTGTGATCAGTTTGGTTGGTTTTCCCTTCTCTCTGCAGTTGAATTCCACTGTAATTAGCTTTTTAAAAATATCTAACTTTTACTAACTATATAGCAGAGGGAACTATATTCAATATCTTATAGTAACCTATAATGAAAAAGAATATGAAAAGGAATGTATATATGTAAATGTATGACCAAAACAGTATGCTGTACACCAGAAATTGACACAACATTGTAAACTGACTGTAATTCAATGAAAAATAATAAAATTTAAAAAAACCTAACTTTAGTCAAGAAAACAAAATTGGGGATGTAAGCTGTGTAATTTGCTAGAACTTCAATTTTGTTCTTAATTAACATACCTCTCCATCCAATGTGCTTCATATTTCCACAGTTTTACACACATTTTTTCCTAGGGCATGAAGAGTAACCCCAAGAGAAGAGACCCATTAGCAAGAATTCTCTATTTACATCTCTTTTCACCTGAAACATGGAGATTACCATATTTGAAATAGACAGGTTTAGCCTCAACTCACCTGAAACACACTGAAAACAAAGTCAAACAGAAATGGAAAGAAATCAAGTCATTCAAACAGCTTTTCTAAATTAAGAGCTCCAAATGTACTCTACAGATTAATTGTGGTTGTATCATCATTTCTAACGCATCGAAAGAGTTTAAATAATTAACTGTAAACCATGTAGTGACTTAAGTAGAAGAGCTGAAACAGAGCCCAGAACTGATGATTTCTAACAAGAAGGGGTGCCTTTGCCCTGCTACATAAGATGTCATGTCACCTTGCTTGTCCAATTGTCCACATTCATAAGCCTGCAGACTTCCTTCCCAATTCCTACCAAGTAATGCATTTTATTGCCAATGAAACTCTTACTTCCTGATCTCATTTGCTGAACTAGACTGGTTATTTTGTCATCCGTGTTACAGAATATATACCTAAATTTTAATATATACAATAAATACATAAACAGCATGTTTGTCGCAGTAAGGTGTTTCATTTATTTTTGTTTTTAAAGTATTTGATGGACATCTTTATTTATCTTTTAAATTTATTTTTGAAGTATTTTTCCTATTGTGATTGTACCTTTTTGCCTTAGCTTGAAGCTCTCTCCCTTCCTTCTTTCCTCCCTTCCTCCCTTCCTCCCTTCCTCCCTTCCTCCCTCCCTGTCTTTCTTTCTTTCTTTCTTTCTTTCTTTCTTTCTTTCTTTCTTCTTTCTTTCTTTCTTTCTTTCTTTCTTTCTTTTC